TTTTTTTGCTGTATATCCATCTGGAAATGAAGAACATAAATAAAGAAATCGTTTAATTAAAAAGTTATCAACTCATCTCTTCCCATCTCAATTTGCTCAATTTCTCTTTATTTGAGGTATTTTTACGCTTAATCGCAATTTAATCTTTAGTTTTCTGCAATATTTTGAACCAGATTCAGTGATCTGCATAAGGGTATCCTCTGTTTCGTGTAAAAATTGAATCTTTATCATTTGTTTTGATAAAAAGAAAAATACTTTTCTTGTGGGTTAGGAAACATAGTTTGAAACCAAATTATCATTAGAGATTGAGATTGTCTGAAAGCCCTTTTTTTATTTCAAATCTGAAAGTGAGTTTGTTTGTGATTTTTCTCGTCGGTTCACGGTTTTTGTTCTTCATCTCAGTATTTTTCTGTTGAGTTAGATATGAATATGTTCACAAGTTCTCAACTTTTGCCAAGTATTTCACTTTATAGGGAGTTGATTAGACATTAGAACGGTTGTTTAGGGAGCTAAAGATCAGTTGTATTACTTCTGTTTATTTTTCTGGTTTTGAAATCGTGGAATTATTGACATCATCAATGAATCAAAGCAAGAAGTTGAAAGTTTGTGTTTTTTGAGGTTTGATGATATTATTGGCTATTTTCTGATAAAATATGGAGTCGGTTTTTGTAATTCTCTGTTAGTGTTGTCTTGTTATTGGAGAAAATTATCTTTTGTGCTCTTTGATGATGCACTGGGCTAGAAGATCGAAATTTTCACGTTTTTAGGTATTTTTTATATTCATTTGGAGATATCCGATATGTGTTGTTGAATGAGCACAAATCCCAAATCGTATTGTGGAGGATGAAACAATTTGGTGAAGTTGTCATTTATGAATTTTGCGGTCGTAGACAGTATTATGTCATATTAAAGAATATGTGAGATAAATCATCAATATTATGTCATATTAGAGAATATGTGAGATAAATCATCGAGGTCTGTTAATTATTAGTTAATCATTTTGCTCGGCGAAACAGCCTCATAATGGATCATAAAATGGTTGCATATCCTTTCGATTGTTAGCCTTTGTTTATGTTCTCATGTTTAAGATTACCTTTAGGACATCTTCCTGAAGTTAAATGGGCTCAATGGAGTTCTTTTCAGCCCTTTTTTTTATGATAACCTTGTATGTCTTTTGAAATTGGATATGAAGCATTCCTGTCCATGCCAGTTTTTGTTCTTTCAGTTAGTATAAACCTTAATCTTATCTGTAAGATGAACTGTGAAATTCAGCTGGTTGCATGCATTTAATCTTCTTCATGTAATGCTTTTACAAAGTCGTTGAAGTTTCAAATAGTTGCTCTGTAAAATATGAGCAAAAAAACTAGTATAATTGTGTTAGTGTGGGTTATAAGTATGTCTCTTGAGCTTTAACTTGACTACAAACACAAGAAGGCTGGATTAAAGTATGAACACAGCCGTTGACTTTTGTTTCTGTTTCACTAGGCACTTGCCAAAGAGATCATTTTTTTTTTTTTTTTTGGTTCTGAAAAAGAAGAAACTTTTATATATTTCAACCAAATTTCAAAATAATATTTTGTGGTTTTCCAATGTTTAGGGCCCTAGGCAATACAATTCACTTGCTGTTTATATCAGAGTCCTTTTGAAATTATCTGCCTTGTGTGCGTACCAGCCGCTGCTTTGTTATTTTGTTATTTTGAATGTTAATTAGTCGTTTACTCGTTATCCCATTTTGGTACACACCTTGGCTAATATCAGGAAAATTTGCACCAATCAATGGAGTCTTCCAAAGAAACCGGCTGTGAAGCCCGTGAGGGCCCGATCCTCTGCATCAACAACTGTGGCTTTTTCGGGAGTGCTGCTACAATGAACATGTGCTCCAAGTGCCACAAGGACTCGATACTCAAACAGCAGCAGGCCCAGCTGGCCCAAACTTCCATAGACACCATCATGAATGGTGGTGGCTCGACTAGCGTCATTCAAAAAGAGCCCATTTTCGCCGACCCATCAAATGTGGAAAAGCCCGAACCAAAAATCGAAATCGGCCAATCTTCGGGAGAAAATCTGGAGGTGAAGGCAAAGGAGGGCCCAAACAGGTGTGCCAGCTGTCGCAAGCGTGTTGGTTTGACCGGGTTCAACTGCAAGTGCGGGTTCCTCTACTGCTCCGTCCACCGTTACGCGGACAAGCATGAATGCACGTTCGACTACCGGGCCGCGGGCCGGGATGCCATAGCAAAGGCGAACCCGATCATAAAAGCCGAAAAGCTCGATAAGATCTAGAGAAAAAAACATGTGGGGTTTTGAAAAGTTGCTGGTCCAGTTTATGATGCTTTTTCATTATCCTTTTTCCTTATTTTTCCTTTGTCTGAATTTGGGTTGTGGTCTGGCAAGAGTAAGGAAGCAATTTGTCTTGTTTTATGAACTCCGGGGGATCGTCGGTTATTGGCTCCAGTGTGTAAAATTGGTGGTTTGCTGGCTCGATTATATATTATGGAAAGTGTCGATGTTTTTTCTTCATTGGCCATGTTTTTTGCATATGTTGAAACTCAAAGATGACAACAAATCAATGGCCATATATTTAAGAATACTGAGACAGAACGGTAACTAAGAAAACATTCAGAAAATCAAAAGGCCATAACCATATCTCGATAAGTATCCTCTGATCCCCGATTCGCCATGGGCGAGCCGTTAACATTCACAAATTGATAACAGAAAACAGAAACAGCGATCGATGAACAAGTCATTCTGAAAATCTGAGTAGCTCAGGAAGCACCTCATCAAACAAGATTCAGACTTTAAGCTGATGAGCAAGCTAAATTACATTTTATTCCATCAAAAACAGCTGACTACACAAGATAAAAACCTCCAAACAGAAACAAAACACAACCTTTCCTCAATCACGAAACACTGACTGAGCTGGAAAGATAAAAACCTCCCAACAGGAACAAAACACGACCTTTCCTCAATCAGATTCAACTGATTGAGCAGATTCAAGCTCAAGCCTTTCGAGGGCCTTCTGGTGGGCCCACGTCTCGATCGTCAGATCGGGCTTCGCGCTAAGGCCCACCCCGAGGATGACGACGGTGAGGAAGCTGGTGAGGTAACAGGGCAGCTCCCAGTCTTCCCATTTCCGGGACTCGCCGGGCGGGGGCGGCGTGCGGTTGAAGGCGAAGCCTTTGGGCCGATCCTCGTGTCCCGGGCTGGCCCATCTATTCAGCCCGTTTCCTCCGCCGCCGCGAGTGCGTAGGGAGGAGCTCAGGCGGGCTCGTATGGCGGTCGCAGCGGCTCCGAAAGGTTTAAGGGACGGCATCTCAGCAATCGAGAGAGAGGGAGAGAGAGAGAGAGAGGCTGGTGGAGCTTTTGTCGTCTGTTCTTCGGTTTATTTGGGGAAGGGAACGTAATACGACGACGTACCGTAAGCAAAGGACCTAATTTTTTATTAACTACCAATCTCCACGGATTTAATATTATTTTTCAACCTGATAAAATCATGAATGTACAATTTTATACCATCGTTATAAATTCCTAGCAAAATTTTAATCGCACCCTCTAATTATTTTTATATAACTACACATAATGGTCGAACAAAAACAGTTTTTTAACAAGTTATTACTTTAGCATTTTCCAAAAAAAAAATAAAAAATAGGTTGACTATTATTCAACCAAAGATTGAGACTTGGAACTTGGAAGAGTTGTAAACGACCGAGCTTGCCACATTAACTAACCGAGCTAGTAATAAGCCCAACTTGTTTATCAATACACTATTAACGAGTCAAATTCAAGTTTTAACGAGTCGAACTCAAGTTTTAATAAGTCAAGTATATAAAACTTTTGAGCAGAGCTTAACCAAATGAACTCGAGCTCGGCTACACATGTAAAAGTGATTGTTGACTTGCACAAAAGAATTTTATCAATGTTATCCACATAAAACACCCCATTGACAATGTGCTGAAACATATACAACTGTACATAATCAACACCTCCTTCTCATAAACAAATCACAATTCACACAAACTTGGATGGCATAATCAAAACATATACAACTGTACATAATCAAAACCTCGTCTTTCCTCGGATGACATCGACCCAAATCGGGATAAAAACATGTGCTCTTTATCCTGTCCGATATTACAAACAAAAGAAAAGCGAAGGAAAGATACAAGGGGAACTCAAAGATTCCGAAACCTTGATATATATATTAGATTAAAGATCACACCGATGTCGTTTTCAACATATTACAAATAAATTAGTAATGTCAAACACTACGGCATCTATATCTATATATATGGCTAGCCAAATTTCCTCTTGACAAAATCAATAAGGTTTTCCATCCAGCAGCAGACAATTGTGTGTCTGTGTGTGTGTGTGTGTGTGGAAATCCAAAGCTCAATACTGAGAAATCTGATATAAACTCCCTAGTTTTCCCATTAGCTTCTAGTAAAGATATTCAGTATATACAAAGCTTAGCTAACTGGACAATTCTTGGTCCCCCTCCTTCAGAGCTCCATTTTCAGCTGACTTGAGTGCAGTGACGCTGTGCCAAGAAAAAGGTTGCATATTGATTTATCTCAAAAACATTTATTTATTCACAACTATTTTTGTTGTAAAATTCAATAAGAGAATGACCACTTGTTTGGAAATATCCATTTTATAGAGGAAATTTAAATTTTTAAAACCAGAATCGACCATAGACGAGTAAATAAAATGTGATGAATTTACAGTGTGAAAGTGATTATTCGTCAATGAGAAGTAAATTTACCGGAGTTCGCAGGAGAACCGTAACTTAATAGCGAGTGATCTGGAGTAATGAAGTTGGAGGTGTCTTCTGGTCTGGCCCATGAAGGCTGGTGAAGCCCATCAACATCCAATGGCTGGTGATAATGGTGCTGTCTGTTCATTTCGATTTGTCCATCAGGCCAGACGGGAGGATCAAACATGCCTGGGCAGCTATTATTGATAGAGGATCCATTCTACAAGAGCAAGAAAACGTGGCAAGTTATAAAATCAAATTTACAACTTAAAAATTGGCAGTTCGACAACTGGCAATTTTTAACAGTCCATGTTTGACAAATGGAACTTCAATACAAAAAGTATAACTTCCGCAAAATTTATCTATAACTAAACTAGCCTAGTGAAAGAAATTGTAATAGCTAGAGATACTTACTTCTACAGCAAGGAGAGCATCAAGGTTGAAATCAACTCTCGGGTTCACACCAGCAAGTCTCATAGACAAGAACTGAAGCCAAATAAACATTTCTAATCAGCTGGAGTGTACTGAAATGGAATACAGGTGTAAAAAGTCATAGATTCCCATCTATCCGGGTGTTGCATATTGATGTCTGTTATCTGTTAGGTTTTTAACCAATTGAAGATTCAACATTAAGTCATTTCAGAATGCCCATGACCTTAATAGCAGGTCTATAAAATTCTTCCAAATCTGGTGGATATTCTGATTTTTCCATGCCGATAAACAATTTATATAGGTGGGCAGAAAAGTGAGCAACTTCATAAACATCTCACTCTTGCAACAAGAAATTCTACAATATTGTGGCGTCAAACAAAAGTTTAATATAGTCTGATATCCCTCCTTGTATATTAATTCAAAACGTGTCGAGTCTAAGTGGCAGATTCTCATGCTTCGGATGCTGACATGGCGAAAATCTATGCTTCGTGATGTTGTTTTCATATTATTTTTGCTCTGGACTTAGGTTTGATATTAGACATAAATAACTTTTATCATATATTTCTTAACTCAACACCCGTGTTGTACACGGGTATTGTACTAGTAATTCTTAAATGGGAATTTGAACTTTATCACTTCTGATAAGAAGAATGCTTTGAGTCTGACCTCCACTTGACGTTGAAGTGCTTGTACATGATTTATTATCTCATCCAGCACCATTGCAGTACCTGAAATCTGTGGTTGAAGGGGAAAAAAGGATTTATTTCTACACAGAAAATAAACATTTTGCTCATTTCAATTTAAAGTTGTTGCAATTGATTGGTTAATAATAGTATCATAGAGCAGCTGCTTTGTCTTGATAGCCATCGGCTTTTCTTCCTTGTACTCAATTAAAAAGTTGACATCTTCCCCATTCCCATAATCTAATATCTTTTACAATCGATACTTTTAGACAAATAATAAGGCATGCTCTAATCATCAGTAAATAGCATCATAACGAGGAAAAAAAATGATTGTCCAATGCACTTAATGTAAAAATCTTATAACCATTAACCAGATTCAGCAACTTCCTCAAAAAAATATGAACAACAAAAATTAGTCTGCAAAATTTAGCACTTCCAAATGACAGGGTTTGTCAGCTTACCTTGTGGCATCCCGGGACTAGCTCCTGCAATAGCTTCATCCTGGCATTGATCTTTTCTCTCCTGGCCTGTAGAAATTCATCAAAATTTACGATAACTAGTCAGGTTCAAAAAAATCATTTAAAAGGAAGTTATGGCATTCAGAAATCACTCTCTCGGCTAAGCTGTGACTGTCAGTAGCTTGACCACGACGGGCTCTGACGTGAACATAGGGCAGCTTCTCGCCACTCACTTCGGAAGCTTCATTTGCTACCGCCTTTTTGCTCTTTTTTTTCGGTTCTTTAACCTGATTACATAAACACAGAATTTCACCTTACAAACTCTACACCGATGACAAAATATTCTACTAGGAAAATGACAAATTAAACATGAACATAAATATCAAACGAGTTTGTGTAATTCTTGGAGTTTGAATTTACCTTCTTCTCCCTCTCCTTCCGCTTGCCGGACTTCAAACTCTGATCATAAACCGCCGGTGAAGAGGAATTCGGGCGTGAGTCCTCCGGTGGCTCATGCTTCACCAAATCTAGCTTCATCGAGCTTGAGGCTGACAAAATCGTAGTACTCACCGGGGAATTATCGGCCGAGGCGTAGGCAGAGAACATAGAGGCTCGGTCAACGAGGGCAAAATCGAGAGGGAAAATCGGGGGCGGCATGGGCTTAGCCGGAAAGTCCTCCTTGACCAAGATCTCCATAGCCTGCGGCGGCGGAAGTCCGAGGAGCGCCGTGAACGAGCTGCCTTCCGTTTCCGCTGGGCCGGAGATTAAGCTGTCGAATTCTTCGAACCCGAATTCTGTTCCCCCGGGTTGGGTTCCGGATATTTCGGATCCAAATCGCGGTGGGGTGACTTCAAAATTTCCTTCCATAAACGGAAATTGTTTGTGATGCCCCAAACTTCTTTTTGAGAATGTCTCACAAAATCAATAGCAAAACGAATGGAAATGACCGGAGAAAAATTGATACAGGGTTGGAACAGAATTGAATTCGAAATTCAGAGCATCTTTCTGAAATGTCGCCGGAAAATCAGAAAAGGGACACCAAAACACAGCACCACTGAAATTTCAGCAGTTTGCACCGTAGAAATGCTTCAACGTTTCCAAACCTCAAGGGTTCTCAAGGGAAAACGAAAAAAGGAGCTAAAGAAACCTTATTGCAGCTGCAAATGGCGCGCGAAAAAACACGTAGCTTCTTGCAGCTGCAGTTTTATTTCTCTCTCCTTTTTACCTTCTCCTGGCTGAAGCTGAAAACCCCATTTCAATGGCGGACAAATCCTACACCTTTGAGTGTAAAATTGAAAATAGTTTTGCCTTTTTTTTCTCATTTTCATCTGTCATCAGCTTATATCAGTATAGTGGCGCACACCCTACTCTACTGTGTGTGCTGCGCTGCGAAAGCAACATTTGCAGTTTGGTCCCTACTCTCTCTGCCGTCTTTCCGTTTCAACACCTCCCAATAATTCCATTATTATATCCCTTTTCATTTAATGTCTTTAATAATGTCGCGTTAATTGTTGGCCTAAATTAGTGTAATGATGTTTATAAAGACAATGATATGATTAGCAATGCTAAAAGAAACTATCATCTCGTCTAAGCTCGACTCGTCAAACTCGAGAATATAGGTTTTTATGTAATTTTTTTATTTTTTAATAAGATGCGTTTAAGCTCAAGTTCAACTGGTCAAAGTTCGAGTTCGAATCGCTAATATCGATAAGCAAACTGAGTTGAAGCTCGCTTTGTTAATAAATCAAATTTGACTCATTATGAACAAAGCTCGAGCCTAAACTCGAGTATTAAAAACTTAAGTTGGAGCTTATTTAGTTAACTAGTCAGCTCCCTTTAAGCCGAAACTCAAGAATCACAATTGTTTATAGCTTTAAATATGCATAAGAATTTGCCTTTTGGTATACTTTAAATATAATACAAATTGAAGTATATATATTTATTAAATATAAATATAATATGTTGGATCAGTCTACCAACAATTAAAGGTAAGATTTTGTGTTTAATTAAAGTGGTTTTTTTATTCACAAGTGACTACTAAGGGTGTGTTTGGTAAAACTAGCTGATAAGCTAGCTGATAGTTGATAAGCTAGCTTATAGCTTATATGTGATAAGCTAGCTTATAGCTTATAGCTTATGACTTATAGCTTATAAGCTAGCTTATATGATAAAAGTGTTTGGTAAAAGTAGCTTATAAGCTAGCTGAAATAAAAAATTCAACGAGCTTATTTTGAAACGCTACCTAAACAAGCTTATCAAATAAGCTCGAGCTTTTTAAATAAGCTCGTCCTACCAAACAGGGCTTATTTAATACAGGAAGCTTATAAGCTAATCAAATAAGCTATAAGCTAGCTTATATGTCATACCAAACATACCCTAACTCTACTTATTTAAACCGCCACCCAAGTTGGTCCAAAGGGCAATCTTTTAACTTCAAACGAGAAGGATTTGGGAGTAGAAAAAAAGGTAATGCTGAATATAACAACTACCATATGATATTGGTCCAATTGCAAAGTTAATATTTATTTACAAAAAAAAAAAATATATATATCAAATCAACACTTAGAATTCATATTAATTAATTCATTTAAATTTATAGCTTTTTTCTTGATATTACTTATTGTAGGAGGACAACTATTTTTCTTTTTCATTTTTCATATCACTCATGTTCTATCTATATATCCTCTTTTTTTCAAATGCATGCTGTCATTTGGACCACTAAAATTAAAATCACCTGCCTTGTGATTTAATTAATAAATAAATGTACGTGAGTTAAAAGCAAAGGGCCATGTCTTGTTACAAAATCATCATTACAGGACTCCCTCTCCACTTGGCTTGAGTGGGCCTCCGTTGATCTTGTTTCACTCAAGTGAAGATGGCCCAAACCTTTGTGGGCTTTGGGTTTAGGCCCACCTTTCAAATTTGTCTTTAATAAGATAACTCACTTGTGAGTTCGGCTAAACTCGTGAAGTCTTGTAGTTGACTTGACTCGTTAGGCTCAAATATTTTTGTATATAATTTTCTATCATTCAAATCTTTTATATCTGTAAATGTGTCGAGTTCGAACTCGTTCATTGACATGGCAAAGGCTTTAAATATTAGGAGCTCTGAGTATTTAGCTGGTTTACTCCCCTAGCAT